CTTTAGTTTTGATGCAAAAACGCATGATCGCACCGGCTCGCCTGGTGCGTTCCAGCCTTTGTTACAGCATAATACGCAAAAACGCATAAAAACGAATCACTAAATTTAATGATCTGATCAGACACTGTTCACTGTTTTTTTGATTCTTTCTTGCCAGAGCAGTTCTTCCTGAGCTTTTTTCAGTTCCAAGTATTCACGTATCTCTTTGTAGGTGTTTCCGTAAATTTTCGATCTTTCTGCAGAATCTTCTCTGTTTTCTTTTAACATTGCGTACGTACCATTTAACAATCAAACTTTGTCAATCTATTTTTTCTCTTAGTACTCGTCTTGCACTGATATATATACATATGTATATGTGGTATTACTAAGTTATAATTCTGTGAATATATTTTAGTCAGAAAATGTTTAATTTATAGGTGGCCATTCAAGTCGTACTCTGGTAAATGTACATGTGGAAGACGTAAACGATAATGCACCAATATTCTATCCAGAAGAGTACAATGTTTCGGTGCGTCAAAATGCTGTAATCGGTAGCCCGTTGGTATTGCTTTCAGCACATGATGCTGACGGAGGAACATTCGGCAAGGTAATCGCTTTCCTCAACTTGCTTCCTCCGTCGAAACTTAGAGAAATGAGAGATAACAGATGGACAAACGGATTATTAAGTGACACCAAAGTACTCTTTTTTTGATAAAACCTCAGTAAATTTGCTTTGCTTACCTATCATTTTAGTTTAGGAAACAACAAAAAAAATTTAAGTGTTGCAATTTTATTTTTATGAGCCTGCTTATAGGTACGTTATCGATTTGCAACCGAAGACAATGGGAATTTTCGATTGGATCCAAACTCCGGTCGTCTTTACTTGCAAAAAAGGTTAACCAAGAAAAGTTATAAGCTCACGGTTGAAGCCGTCGATGGAGGAGGATTGGTCAGCGACAAGCAGGTACTATGAAAAGTTTTGAAGAAGCCAATTTTCTTTCATTGTTCGGAAGTTTATTTTTTGACATGACTTAGTTCATTTAGGTCATGACTCAACGCGATCTGGATTCAAAAACAGTTCTTTTGAACCACACATTAAACCACTCTTGGTGCACGAAAAATTACAAAACTGTAATTTTCATTAATTTTGGAGGTAATGAAAGCATGCGTCATTTAGGCGTCAAAATTTTTCGGGCTTTAAGTTTTTTTCTTCAGGCTACTGTGCATATTATTGTTATTGGTGCTTCAACGCCAACACCTCAGTTCACGAGTACGTTGTATAAATTCACAATATCCGAGGAAACTCTACCCGGTATCGAAATTGGACAAGTAAGAATCATTTACTTTTCCCAATAGAAGCGCCGCTGTTAGTGCTTTTCTCTCCCAAATTTGCCTTTGTCCTGCCCCGCCCTTACTCTCGGCATATAAAAAACTAATTTTAAAAAGCAAAGCTTTAGCTTTAGACACGTAGAAAACTGATTTTAAAAAACAATTACCATAACGGTACCGAAAGCAGGTGATGCTAAGTGTCTTAAAAAGTGACAAATTTAAGTAGTAGATAGTATCCAAAGCAAACAGAACAAGCCGAAACAGAACGGGTTTGTGCTGCTCCTAGTTCTAAAGTCAATTTTGTGCTGTCTTACTGAAGCCTACATTTCAGATGAATGATACCAAAGTCTAGTATTTTCCAAACTCAGGCTATTATCCATTATCGGCCCAACCCATGGCAGACAAATAGGCTACGACCAAAACCTGATAAAACTTCTTGTGTGATGGATTGTCACTACAAAAACACATTACCAGCAAAAGTTTTACACATAAATGAGATAAAGGAAAATTCTATACTTCACTCATTTTCAAAAAGTTGGGAAGAGGTTGGAAGAGCGGCGGCAAATGGGAGAAGTTTGATTTTTTAATTTTTTCTTTAAACACTGAAATTTCTGATATACAATTATTGAAAATTTCGCTACTCTCGCAGTAGCTTCCCGGCTAGTTGTGGTAAAATTTCTTAGTGTTTTCAGTTTTTAATTTTATTGATCTGTACTTCAGGTGAAAGCTACAGGACCATATCCAGTAAGGTATAACCTTTATTCTGGAGATCCAGAACATCTGTTTGCTATAAACGAGAGGAATGGCCAGCTAAGTGTTGCTCGATATCTGGATGCTGACAGATGGGATGAACTTTTACTTAATGTACAGGTGAGCATTAATTAAGTGCTCATTTGCGCAACAAATAATTATTTGTTAAATTGTTGTTTTAGTCATTTCATCTGCATCTTTTTGCTTAATTATTATAATGGGACTTCTAGACGGTACGTTACCTTTTCGTCGACTTGAGGAGGAACCGTACAACTAAAAGCGCTATGATAAAGGTGCACTTTTGATTTTTGAGGTGCATCCAGTAGTAAAAAAAAGTTAAATTTACTTGATTCACCAATTCCTTCCAACTTTTCGGGTTTTTTTCTATGCATTCAAAAATTCTGTCATTCAAGAACAAATAGCCTTCGTGCAGTTTCTACAAAAATATCAGTATGTCTTACGCACATCTCACAGGCATGGATGGAGGGTGG